CTGACCTATTATGCCGCCGTTGTTGGGCGTCTACGTCTTCACCGACCGGCCGCCTCATCCGCCGCCGACTGGTGTCACCGCCTGCACGGCTGGCCTGTTATGACGCCAACTGATGCTATCTTCTTCACGGCTGGCTACATCGCCGTCACCGCTAATAGGCGTCAGCATCTTCAACACAAGCTGCCTACGTCTGCTGCCGACTGCTACCACTACTGATGGACATCATCGTCTTCCGTCGCCAACTGGTTATGCCGCCACCGACTGGTGCTTTTATCTTCACAATTGCGCATCTTCACTACCGGTTTGCTTCTATTGCCGCCGACTCATGTTCACTTCATCACGGCTATGCAACTTTGTCACCATGGTGGAGCAATTTCATTTTTATTATCTTCGGCATCGGCAAACTCTATTGCCTCTACTTCGCAAGCTTTGCTACTTCACCAACCATGACGACTACAAGAGTTTCGACACCTTAGCATACGTCAACAAGTATAATGCCATGTTATTTTACTACAACAAGTGGTGTTCCAATATTCAAGATTTCTACTCGGACATCTTCTATGCGTATATTCACTCAAGCAATGACTACTCAACGACAAGAAGCTACAGTTCTCGACTCTATGTTCAGTTGTTTCTCAACTAACCAAGAGTCGGGGGCTACACAAATACAAGACTCTCAAAATTCGACAAGCTTTATGTCAAGATGAAGCAATCAATCAATCAACAAGTCAACTCGGGGAGTTATTATCTTCGTCTTCGCTTCAGAGCCGACATTTAATTTCAGCAACTCCAATTATTACACCGGCAATTTTGGCTTCTTCATGCCGCTACAATCTACTCCAAATTTCTCAAGTTTGAGATTTAATTTACATGTCTGGGAGTTTGGAGTCATCAACCAATTAACTCAGATCAGATTCAATGAGTTGACCAACAGCATATACTTTCCTCTAAGTGAAGCATCTGCAACAGCTATAGCACTAAGTTCTACAGCCATCTTCATAAATCAAGGGGCGTTGCATCAGTCTTCATTATGCACACGCTCGTATCAAGAAAATTATTCGAGCTTCGATATCTTCTCAACAGTTTGATGGATTATTGTCATTGACTTCATCACCAGCACCTCTACCTCATCGGCCCTGACATCTCTGCTGTTGTTAATGGATGACTACGTCTTCTCCTCCGGTTGCTTCCGTCATTGCCGACTTGTTATTTCACCCTCACGGTTGACCTACTTTGCAAACGCTGATGAGCGTCTTCGTCATTATCATCGGTTGCTACACTGCTATTGACTGGATCACCGACATCGTCATCTTCATCAATATCCTGTCAAGCCTCTTCAACATAGCCCTATTCTACTGCTGTTTGATGGGCAACTTCGTCATCATAGTCGATCATCTATGATTGCTGCTTATCATCATTACTGTCGGTTGCGTTTGTCGTCGCCGACTATTTTCTTCATCTTCATGATTGGTGGATTTCGTCATCGCCTTTGATGCGTGTCTACATCTTCACCGTCGGCTTGTTTTCGTCACCACCGACCGGTATGCTCGCCTTCATGGATGGATTATTATGTCGCCACTAATGGGCATCTTCATCTTCTTCACCAGCTGCATCATCTGTCACCGACTGATTATTTCGCTGCTATGGCTAAACAACTTTATCGCTGGGCACTTTCATATTCATTGCTGGCTGACCTAACTGTTGCCGACTGGTTTCTTCGCCTCCACGGCTATGCAACTTCATCACTTTTGATTGGTATCACTATCTTCACTACTACCAATATTTTTGCCACCTCTGGTGGGCAATATTATCTCTATATTGGTCGTCTTGTCTCTATGCCAACTGCGTCAGCTACCATCAATGGACAATTGTGACTACGACAGAAGGACAAGCTATATACTCAGGGGCTTACTATCTCAAACACAAGTACCGTACCTTCAATTTGGACTTATTCCGGATACATACAACATGAATTTGATGATCATGGGTCTATTTTCTATGCTCAAAGACTGGACTATTTATTATTCCCCGTAAGGGTTATCAACCGAATACTTGCGCCCGTTAGAATTCAATTGTTATATCTATTTTGGAGCATCCCATAAAGGATAATCACTCAGATCAGGAGCTATTCATATGAGCTACACTTGGTCTATATCACCCGAAAGATTTATTACTCGGGAGCATGTTACATGCGTCATCCTTTAAAGGGTGTCGAAGGCATATTTTTTGGCCTAGGCTTAATATGTCTGCAGCCCATATTTTCAGGTGTGGCTTGTCACGTTCTTTTAGTGACTTAGGCATCTTTCTGCTTAGGCAAAAGTGCACGTGATTATGTGCCCAATACCATAAAATCCTTTTATACCGCAGTTACTCAACTTTTTAGGAGTTGGTACAATGCATTTTAAAAGGTGCCAAACAGTAATGCTTTATATAGCTCCCCGCTGACTTTTTTTATATAAGTCAAGGCGTTGTTTGGGTTCATAAAGCAATTGATTGGATACAATATCATTGCTTTTTGCCACGTAAGTGTGCACTTTTATTGACCAATATTATGGCTTAGGCTGATTATATATTTTGGTCATTTTCTAGGCGGTTGGTAAATCCTTTATGAGTTTATTTACTCGGATTTTATAGCACATATGCCATATATTTCCAGGTGTGGTGGAACCATGTGTCTTCTAGGGACTTAAGCACATCTGTTAAAGCATTGTGCGCATGGCGTATGCCCAATACTTTGAAAATTTCTTTATTCACAACATACAAGCTTCTTAATAGCTGTTTTGCTATGTGAATTTTCAATGATGTAGCCAACTTTAGGTTACACTCATCATATTTTACAAAACAGTCGGTATATCACTCGGATCATGTTATTCATAGATTCACACCGCATATGCTATATATTGATATCAAGTCACTTGGTTGATTACAATTATCAAAACCACTCGTTTGGTTGGATTATTTATTCCTTGACTATATGCTTAGTTTGTTCAGCTAACCACATAGTCGGGGGCTACACCTATTAGGTGCATCTAGTCGATGCACCTGACTTTATTTTTCAGCCTTCCACAGTCTTCATATTTAAAAGTACTTCGGAGACCATGGCGAAGATGATTGAAGCACTCAGCTTTGGAGTAATCTAGTTCGAGAGAAGATTATCTTTTCGACTGTGAAGGTCTCAGGGGCTACTGTGGAGATTATGGGTACCCCATACCCACACGGCATGGTTATCCGACTAGCTATAGGGGATGACTTATATTTATGAAATATGTAACGGATCATAACTTGGGTATTACGTTTCCCTGTATATTATGGAACGGCCTAAAGTTCTGGTTTGATAAGATTGTAAAGTAGATTTAGGAAACCGATACCGTATTGGTTAAGGTTTCTATCTTGTAATCTTGCCCCCCATCCTATATAAGGGGGGCAGGAGGCCCTCTAGGGGGCATGAGACAACCTGATCGTCAGATCAATACTACACCCCGGCGGATTCAAATCCCCAAATAGGAGTAGGGTATTACCTCTCATCGAGAGGGCATGAACCTGTCTAAATCATTTTTCTCCGCATCCATCCACTTTTAGGTCTCGTGCGCTACCCCTTTTCATATTGCCGAAAATTTGTTTCGACAATCGGTGTGCAAAAACTGGGCAAGGCAGTTGACACTGGCTGCATGTAGAGCTGTGCACGCCCATGTTTATTTTCCTCTAAAATTTCAAAAAGAGGTGCTCATTTCATATGATTTTCAAAGGAACCTTTAGGGATTAGTCCTTTGTTCCAAAATGGCCTGATAGGATTTCTATTTTTGGGATATTTAAATCCTCCAAAAATTGTCACTACTACAAAATCGATTATTCATGACATCAACCTATTTTTTTTCTCTAGCGGCCATACGTGAAAACTGCTAGCGAAATTGTAACAAGGAGGGCTATGAACCACCGGCGAAAATCGATTTTCGGTGGCGATTCGGTTACATAGATCGCAAAAAAAATATAGCTATTTTCGCTAGTGACCCACTTAAACAACCACCAGAGAAAATCAATTTTCACTTGCGAATGCTTAGGAGAACCGCCTGAGCAAATAAAATCGAGATATAAATTAAATAATTAAATCCCTAGAGAGCATCGCTCTCTTTGCCTTAGCCTTTCGATCCTGAGTCTTCTTTCCTCCTCTGCCTCCCTCAACTCTCTCCCTCTCCTCTACTCCCCTCCTCAACTCTCCATCTCCTCTACTCCCCTCCTCAAGTATCACCGGACGGCAGGAAGCTAGCAGCGGAGGGGGCTCGGCGGTGTTAGCTCAGCGACGGCAGAGGGGGAGTGTGAAAGTGGCAGCAGCGGCTCAGCGACGGTGCTCGGGAAGGTGGCGGCGGGTCGGGAAGGCGATGGTGAGGAGCACAGATCCATCGCCGCTAGGCCATAGGGAACACTGATCTGCCACCGCCAGGCTGCGGGGCCTCGGCGACGTCAGTGTCACAGATCTCTCGACGTCAGCGATGGCTGGAGCCCGGCGGTGCATGTGGCCGTAGCGGCCAGCGTTGCCGATTTTCATTTTTTTTACCCAAAAATTGTTTTCACTGGTGGTCTCTTTAGCTTACAACCAACGAAGATAGTATTTTTGCTAGTGGTTGTTTTAGCATGCTGCTTGCGAAACTCGATTTTCGTTGGCGGTCGAATAGCCGCTAGTGAATATGCATTATTTTCACTGGCCTTTGGTCACTGGAGGCACCGCCGACCGCCAGCGAAAATATATTTTAATTTGGCCGCCAGCAAAAATAATATTTAGAAGTGCATTCATAATTTCGTTGTGTTTACTAAGGAGCCCTTACTCATAAGTCATCATAATTTTTTCGCAAAAACTAATCGACGAGGCCTCTCGATTCTTATCGTACGACGCTGCTTAGATTTGTCCAATCACGCACGCTGCGTCATATCCGTTCGATCATGGGAACGGTGGAGAAGCCAACTACACATGCATGCCTTTTTCTATTAGACATGCATATCTTTTTCCCCTTCTTGTAAAGTTTTCTTTCAAATTACTTTTCCGATCTACAATCTGATTACACCATTACAATCTGATTACACCATTGTGTTCGTTGCAATTAAATCTTCACAACAAGATCTTACATGATTATATTACGATAAAAAAATATTTATATTTATAAATTACTTTTATTATATATGTAAGTTACTTTTACCATATACTCCGTATATAAATTACTTTTAGATTTGATTAAATTACTTCTTATGCATTCATAATGCTGTAAGTTGATTATTTTTTATTATTGGTTTTAGTCAATTCTATAATTTATGGACTTTAAATTTAATTATTATATAGACCATATTTTTCTCCATACAAGGAATTCACTTCTAATGTTGTAACAATTTACTTCCATTTTGTGCAAAGTTACTTTTATGATTTATGTAAATTACCTTTAGACTTTATTGAATTTACTTTTATAAATGTATTTACTTGAAAATCTTCTCTACACTTTGCTTATGAATTTACTCCACATAGTTTCTTATTTTAACTCAGTCAGAATGTAATTACTTTTCATGCTATAGGGAAGTTACTTCTATAATTTAAATAAATTACTTTTAAACTAATATGTTTTTTAATATATTCAACATGCATCTCATTTTGTCACATATTTTGAGCAGGGTACAATGATGCAAATAGATTTTAAAAATAATATGTGATTTAAAAGATATAAGTCATTACATAGGTTAAAAAAGAAATGCACCATTGTATTTTTTTTAAGCTAAAGAGAGATTTATATGTGTATGAAGTGGTTGATGATTAAAACATAAATCAGCGAACGGCCGCTCCCTAGTCTAGTCGCGTCCTATTTTTTTTAGTTCCTCATGTACATGTACAAAAACCATTTAATCCGACTGGTTCAGAGAGTGCAAAACGGACTACGAAACTTGGATCTAATTACAATCAAAGTCATCAACCATGTCAATTAACGAAATAAACGCGACTTCCAACCTGAGTCTGTTCCGGACAGGCGGCCGGCCGCGCACCACGTCACCTGAACACATCTTCCCTATATATATTCCCCACGTTACGTCCAGCAGCCTGCACGTACGACACAATCATTGCGCCCGTGCTCCATTAACTATTTTAGACGCCACGCTGCCACGCCGCCGCCGCTTGTCTTCGATCGATCGTGCGCCAAGCCTAGCTAGCTTTGTCTCCAACCTTTTTTGCAGACTTCCGAGTAGCCAGCCCACCTGCAGGTGTCCCAACTCTTGCTGCCGCTTCGGTTTGTGCACGTGCGCTCGCCATGAACGCCGCCGCCGCAGCCCCAGCGCCGACCATGAACTTCGCCGCCATCCACTCGGTATGGCACGACAACTTTGACGCCGAATCAGCCCAGCTCCTCGCCGTCGCGCCGCGCGCTGTCCACGTCGCGGTGAGCGTTCAGTACCCCGGATGCGCCGTCGCCCAAGCGGGCACCAGTGGCCGGAAAAAGTACGGGAGTCTCACCGCCGAGAAGCGCTATGACATGGTCAAGGCTAACATCGACGAGCTCCACCCCATTCAGGTCGGCCTTGCCATCCGTGCCAACGACGACGACGGCGACAGCGGCGAGCTCGTTGTATTCGAGTTCAATCTCCGGGGCTTCGACATCAACAACCCGGCTGACCTGAGGGACCCGGCCTCCATCGCACACCTCCGGGGCCGCGGCGTCGACTTCGGCAGGCTCCCGTGCGCCGGCGTCGAGCCGCACAGGCTCCGGTTGCTGCTCCTCGGCTCCGGCCTGCTCCAAGCGTGGCCGTCATGGGCGACGTTCACTGGCGCGTACCATGTCGGGTACTTGATGAAGATCCTGACGGGGGCCGAGCTCCCGTCCGGCCTCGACGCCTTCACGACCATGGCGACCGGGACCCTCGGGGAGGGCGTCTACGACGTGAAGCGGCTGGCGGCGGAGGTGAACACAGCGTGCGGGTTCTCGCTCAGGGAGATCGCCGCGTGCATCGGCGTGGTGCCGGTGGCGGCCCAACATGGGATGGTCGCCAGCGCCGGCGCCGTCTCGACGCTGCAATGCTTCAAGGCGTTGAGGGAGCGCCTCGGTGAGGCCCGGGTGGCGATGCACGGCCAACAGATGTGTGGGCTCCGCGCTTATTGATCTTTTTTTCAATTTCGATCATCTGCGGTGATTCGAGGCTTCTGCCCTTCGGTTTAACGGCCGATGTGATTAGGCTTTTTTTTTTCTATGTAATATAATTCCATTCTTTTAATTACTTAGTAGCAATGTTAGATGAATATATATGGATTATTTCTTTTAGACAATGCAACTTTGTATTAACACAAGTTATTCCATGTCTCGATTACACATCAATAATTGTAATGAATCGTATTTGCTGTGTTCTCTTTTATTAGCAATAGAAACTCTGCAATGCAAAAATGTTCTCATGGTGCTTGCTTTACTGCATAACTTTTTCTAAAGTGGTCTAGATAACTTGAGCAATTACCAAATGAGGTACGCTCATGAAATGTTTTTTTAAAAAAGGATTGTAGTATTAGTTAGACGTGTTATAAACTTGGGTTTCCTGTGTTTAAAAAGGATTGAAATAATTTATACAGATTTCTTGTGTTTAAAAATAGTCGAATAAGTATGGCGAACAAATCATATGGCTCAAATGGGTAAACAACAAGCAAAACATTCTACCACGCTTAAAGCAGTCATTGTCCAAAAATAGTTTGAAACTCAAAATTACAATAGATATAATTTCCCGTATTTAACTGATACTAGCATAGTGTCCGGCTGTCCGCTCGGTACAATGGAAAAACTAAATTAGGAGAAAACTACACATCGGACGTCTGATAACTTAAAAAATTGGACGGCCAAATGTTTCAGTTGATCAACGAATGAAACATTAAGTTATATATGATAGAAAAAATAATAATTGAAATATTTAAATACGAGGGAAAAGGGTTTTATGTAGTAGTGCGTTCATTATTTCTTTCTTGTTACTATAAAGGAGCCCTTACTCATAGCCCATCATAATTTCTTAGTTCTTCATGTACATGTACAAAAACCAATTAATCCGATTGGTTCAGATCAGAGTGCAAAACGGACTACGAAATTAACTTGGATCTAATTAACATCAATTAATGGACGCCGCCGCCGTGCACTCGGTGTGGCAGGACAACTTCAAGGCCGAGTCCGACATCCTACGCTCCGTCGCGCGGCGCGCCCGCCACGTCGCGCTTATATTAACGTGCAATACCCCGGCTGCCCCGTCCCCGGCGGCGAGCCGAGGCCGTTCGAGCAGCTCACTGCCGAGCAGCGGTACGGGGTGCTCAAGGCGAACGTCGACGCGCTCAGGGCCATCCAGGTCGGCCTCGCCATCCGCACTGGCGATGGCGGCGGCGAGGCGTTCGTCTTCGAGTCCAACCTGAACGGCTTCGACGTCGGCAACCTGGACTTGCCACGCCAGAGGGACGCCAGGTCCATCGCGCACCTGCGATGCGAGCCCGCGGCGTCGACTTCGCCAGAGGCTGCCGCGCGGCGGCGTCGATTGGTACAGGCTACGGCGTGGCTGCTCTGGGACTCCGGCCTGATCCGGCGGGCGCGGCCGTCGTCGTAGGCGACGTTCGCTGTCGGCTACCACGTGGCCTACGCCGTCAAGTTGCTCACCGGAAGGGATCGAGCTCCCGGCCAGCTCGACGGCTTCACGCGGCTGGTGGCCTCCATCTTCGTGCGCCGCGTCTACGACGTCAAGAGGATCGCGAGGGAGCATGAGCCGGTGCACGTCGGCGCGCTCACCAGCCTTGCCGAGCGGCTCGGTGTTTTCATCGTATACCTATACGACATATATATCCGACTGGGTATGGGGTGCCATGCATAGATAGAATATATTTAAAGGGACTCGGGTTAAATTTCAAACATCTGCTCCGCAAGGAAATACCCAGGATCCTAGTCGGTTATGGGCAAAGGGTAAAGAGGATTTCCTAGTGAGAAACAATGTCTGAGGAAAGCTTAATTTTAATCCTAACGCAATACTTCAAGCACTAGCAACCCGCTGTTCGCTGATGTCGCTCTACTACGTACCTGGACAGGGAGGACTTAAGTGCTCTTGAGGGCTGTCACCACCTCTAAACCCACCTCTAACGTACTGTGGGATACGCAGCAACCACTGGAAATTAATTGCCCAGACACCGCATCTACGCAATTAATAATTATACTCTAGTGCCAGCTAAACACTAAAGCAATCACTATATAATTAGGAACTAACCAAGAATAATTCTCACGAAGCAAATCTCAATTACTTAGAATGATATTTCTATTAAACCAGAGTAATTAACAAAGTACAAGAATAAGGAGAGGATTCCTCCAACTTCTTCTACTTTACTATCTCCCTATTCCAAGTATACTATAGAACATGTAAATAACCTAAAGTATACTTAGAGCCTCTTGTAATTCAGCTCTACATCTTGGTGTGTGTTTACAAGTGAGGATGAGAGGGGTATTTATAGGTGGAGAAGTGCCTTGGGAGAGTGGAGATCCTCCAAGCATCCAAAGAGCATCTTCACTCTTGTGTTGCCAAGTATCCATACTTATGATGGTTTCTACCGGTGAAAACGGTCATAACAGTCATTGGGAAGCGGATTGCTACCCAACTGGACTTAGGCAGAGCCAACGGCCTCACTGAGGGTTTGGCCGAACCCGAGACGGCTCCATTCACTCCGGTTTTTGGCCTGGACATTCATTTTGGGCCCCTCAATCCGTTCGTATGAATGTTTGGCCCATTTGGAGGTCTTTGATTGGGTTGTTGGGTCCAAAACTCCTTAAGTTCGGATATGAGTTTGATTCTTCTCCTCCTTCATGTATATTTCCTCTCAACTTAGGTAGTTTGTCACCTGCATACGAATATACACCAACACTCGTGGAAATTGTTTGAAATAAACCCTACCACTATGTTGGATGTTTCATATTTATGGTCTTATGCAGGTATTGACGACGTTAATTTGGTACTTAACAACTGTCAACAAACATATAGTGGGACCTACATGTCATAACACCAGAGAAGGAGCTGGGCTGAATGGCCAGTCAGGTTCGAATGAACCCCTGGTTCGGCCAAACCACCAGCTGGCCCAACCAGGCCCATTTTTCACCAGCTGATAGTTATCATAATCCTATGACGGTTGTGGCCGTTAATACCGGTTGAAACTGTCATCAGAAGGGATACATGGCAAAGGGAGAAGGAAGATGCTCTTTGGATTCTATGGAGAATATTCCTTAGCATCTCCACTCTCTCAAGTCACCTCCACACTATAAATACCCCTCTCCTCCTTCATTCTCACACACACCAAAGCATAAGCTGAATTATAAGAGGCTCTATTGTACTTTATTGTATACTAGATTAGGTAGAGAGTAGAGTAGAGTAGAGGAAGTCAGAGGAATTCCGGAGTTGTCGGCAATCCTCTTCTTATTTGTTTTACTCTGTTAATTACTCTGCTTTAATCGAATATCATTTTAAGTAATTAAGATTTATTCTATGAGAGTTATCTCTTGGTTAGTTCCTAATCAATGTACGGGATCATTGTTCACTATAGTCCATTAAAATATAGTGATTGCTTTAGTGAGTTATAAACACTAAAGTAGTTATTAACTACATAGACGTAGTTTCTGGGTAGTTAATTTTCGGTGTTTGCTTCATCTCTCACAGTATGTTTGAGGTGGGTGTGGAGGTGGTGACAGCTCTAAGTAGACTAAAGTCCTCCCTAGATCGGAGGGTATCCCAAATTTGTGGTTTTCAACATTCGTTCGGAGGGTATCCCAAATTTGTGGTTTTCAACATTCGTTCTTTGGATTTGCTCATTATAGTGATATATGTGTGCAATGTACTTGGTAGTGCCACAATTTTTTTAACTATATTTGTGGTAATGGGGATTTTTAGATGGTTTTGTTGGATGGATGGATGAAAAAATAGACTTAGGCATTAATGACTTATTAATTTGATGGACCAGAGGCTTTAAGTTAAATTTTTAGGTTTGAATTATATGAAGGGGAGGCGAATTTGGTAGCATTATAGAAATTTATTAAAGTTAATTAGAACTAAGTTGGGTTGTATGATGGAGTATTTGTAATATTTTGATGTTTAATGCACTAGTAAAGTTGTTGGTACTTTTGGATGTGGATTAAATATTTTTCGTGAAGTAGTAGCTTTGGGACAATCTAAGTTATGCATTGGTTATAATATGTTAGTTTGAACTACGTTTAGGAAGGAAGATGTAATTTTAGTTGTAAAGCCACATTTTATTCTTTGGTGTAGATGGATAGAATTGTTCATGTTTACTATGGTGGTAGAGTGATGAAACCTTACGTTGGTACACATGTTGAGTTTAAGGATATGTCATTGAAGACCATTTCGTTTCCCACCCAACTCTATATAACTAATTAAGGTCACGAGTGAAAGAAGTTCTAGAATGGATCGACGATAATGTGGAGATTCGTTTTTATAGGAGGTTTTCGTTTCCCACCCACCCAACTCTATATAACTAATTAAGGTCACGAGTGAAAGAAGTTCTTGAATGGATCGAGGATAAATGTGGAGATTCGTTTTTATAGGAGGTACGATGTTGTAAGGGCATAAGTATATATTAAATATGCTAGGTCAGTTGGAATGGTAAATTTACTTTGATTTGGTAAAAGAGTTGGTATGAGAAGGCTTGGATGGACAAGGAAAGCGAGAAGACTTGGATGGGCAAGGAAAGAAAATGGGAGACATGACCATCAAAGAGATGTTGCGGTAGTGATCTAAGTGAACATATAAGTATGAGAAGGCTTGGATGGGTAAGGAAAGCGAGAAGACTTGTATGGGTAAGGAAAGAAGATGTTGCGGTAGTGATCTAAGTGAACATATAAGTATGAGAAGGCTTGGATGGGTAAGGAAAGCGGGAAGACTTGTATGGGTAAGGAAAGAAGAGGGGAGACATGACCATCAAAGAGACGTTGCGGTAATGATCTAAGTGAACATATAAGTACAAGAGGAGCTTGATCTTAAGTGAACATTTTTCGGAAGATCTAAGTGAACATATAATTCATACCTAAAAATTTAACCTAAAGCCTCTAGTCCATCAAATTAATAATTCTTTAATGCCTCCATCTATCCATCCATCCATCCAACAAAACCATTTAAAAATCCACATTACCACATATATAGTTCAAAAAATCATGGCACTACCGAGTACATTGCACACATGTATCACTATAATAAGCAAATCCCAAGAATGGATGTTGAAAATCATAAATTTAGGCAAAAAAAAAGTTCTAGGGTTACCCTCCAATCTACAAATTCAACCGATTAAAATTAAAAAAAGATTGGAATTGAGGAGTATACCTTTCTCTTTCTCTTCGATTTCCACAAAAAAATCCTGCGAAAAACGACTTCAAATTGAGTGTATTTGATGAGTAGAGGTGAGGGGGGAGAGATAGGGAGAAGGGCTTCTCTGTGTGCTCGGGCTGGGGGCTTGGCAAAAATGAGTGGGGGGAGGAGAGAGTGGGTGGGGCCCGTGCAGGTTAAGGGGTGGCCCACCTTGGGGGAGTGCGCCAGCACGGCTGGCGCCGTGATATGTGGAACGGTGCCAGTGTGGTTGGCGCCCCTCTTTGCCACGTCAGCCCAACCACGTGCCCTAGTGCCGCACTGGCATGGTGACGGCACCAGGGTGGCTGGCGCCGCCATGATGGAGGACGACGCCAGCCTCTCTAGCGCACCAAAAAAGACCATTCCTGCAATATGTTTTTCCAAAGGTCTATTCGTAAAATAAATTTTTAAAAAGGACCAAAATGTAAAAAATTCGGGAGACTGGAGGGGGACGACACTCGTAGAGGAGAGGTGAGCTCTGGGCCAATCCCGTAGCTTGCCGGCCCGTGTGGTGCCTTGATGTGCGCCGGCCCTAGAGCTCACCGGCCAATGCCGCCTTGGAGCAAGGAGTAGGAGCAGTGGGGATCCACTCCGTCGCCATATCCATGGGAACGGCTCGGCTCGGATCCACCCTGCTCATCGCTTGTCTCCTCAACTGCCTCTGCGCCAGAATGGAGGATTCAGAAAATTAGTTCGTTGGTGTCAAATGTTTAGCGGTGTCATAGTATACTAATTATACTTGGATCATAATGTCATAATATATGGATAAGCAATTTAAGCATAGGTTTTGTTGAAAGTCATCGGTACCACCTGATAGAGGTCCATACACTGTGGATTCATCCCCGGCGCTAGATCGGTCGCTCTCATCACCTCCTTGCCACCACGACGACCTCACACCGTACGTAGACCGTACCGAGACTGGATACAAGCTAGCATGGACAGTGATATGTTTATGGTGTGATAAAATTGGCTAAATCAACTTCCTCTCAAGTCTCAACTACGGATGAACGCCTATCTGTTCTTGATTTTATGGCAGAGAGATTAATTGCTTCAGGTGTCGTGCATACATACTGGGTTTGTTTGATTAAAAACTACTAGTACTCCCGTGTTCCGTCTCCGTGCAGAGGTGAGGGCGAGGAGCAGCAGGCGGGTGGCGCCGAGGACATTGGAGGCGGCAGGCTACGACGACGAGTTTGCCGCCCATCCTTGTTGTCCTCGTGCCCGGTTACTCCGACCGCCGCCGCGTCCTCCGCGCGCTCGCCGCGCCGCCCTCGCCTCCGCCTTCATGCCGCTGCCGGCACGCGCCGCCCTTGCCTCCGCCTCCATGCCGCCGTCGGTCAGGCCGCCGTGCTGTGTTGCCCCGTCTCCCTCCGCCGCCGCACGCTTCAGAAGAGGAGGGAGAAGAGCGCCCGTTGCGTTGCGCTCTCAGGCCGGCCGCCGCGCGCTTCCTTAGAAGGGATGGAGAAGAGAGATGGGTGAGGATTCTGACTAGTGGGCCCTAGCGATTCTTTTTTAAAAAAACAGATGACTGGACTGCCACGTGTGCTATTTGAACCCTAAACCGCTTGCAACAGTGCTCAGGGTGGTGTTTTGTCCGGTATTGAAAGTCTGGTTTTTCAAGTTTAGAGGGGTAATTCGGTCGACCGTGATTGTTCAGGGGGTAATTCGTACTTTTTCCAAATAACTATAGTTCTAGACAAGATTGATATCAAACTTTAATTACTTTGACTATGAATAACTTCTAATATATTTGCATAGAAAAATGGAAACTACATGTAATAAAATTATTTGTTGATATTTCTCTTTATATTGTAATAAAAAATAGTGGCCAAAGTTAATTTTTGGAGATAATGTTATTGCCCGAAACGACAATTATTTTCAACTGCACCTGCACGAAGTACTACCTCTGTTTCCTCATGTGTGGATGTTGGTTACAAAAACGTCACAAAAAAATTGGAGGGAGTAACAACTGGCAGGCAAGAAAGTAATTATAAGTACAAGTTAATTGCAAATTAGTGATCAATGATTTTTTTGAGTTACTCATCTGCACCCGCACCATAATTATAACTACTAATGTTAACAATTCATTCATTTATAAATACAAGCACCAGCAAGCACAAATGCATAACAATGTTTTTTTTTATCAAACCATTCATGGCATCAAGCAAGCTAATTAAGAAAAACATTTTATGGGTAAATAAGGACAAGCTTTAGGCTTTAGCTCACTTTGAGTCTTCGATCATGCAAAATTTACTACTAGCTGCTTCTATGAACAAAACGGAGCATCGAAACCCTAAACCCACATGCAATTAATTAATTAACCAGCGGCGCCGCTAATGAGGTTTTAACAGCATGCGATAGTAACACACCTAAAAGGAATAATCCGAGACGTCTAGCTCAGGAACTTCTTCTTCCTGCTCCGGCGGCGGCGGCAGCGGCGTGGCTGTGGAGGCCAGCGTGCTGGCGTGGCGGTGGACGCTGTCCCTGAGCCGCTCGAGCGCCCTGACGAACTCCGGCAGCTCCGCCTCCCCGAGCGCCTCGACGTCCGCCTCCCACCAGAGGGCCCTCCCCGCCATGGCCTGCGTGACCTTGTCCCCGACGTCGCGCATCCGCGCCTGCTCCGCCGCCACCTGCGCCTTGGTCTGCTCCTCCGCGCGCCTCAACGCATCCAGCTCCTCGGGGTCTGCGACGACGACGTCGTCGCCGCCGCCGCCGCCGTCTTCGACGGCCGCGGGGGCGGGGTCGGCGCCGTCGGCGTGGAGCGGGTCGAAGCGGCGGACGACGGCGTCGACGGTGGGTTGACCGAAGGCGAAGACGTTGCCGGCGGAGGAGAAGGCGACGACGGCGACGGAGGCGCCGCAGAGCGTGGACAGCTCGGACGCCTTCTTGAAGAGCCCGTTGCGGCGCTTGGAGAAGGTCACCTGCCGCCGCCCGCTGTTGTCGATGCGGCGGATCTCGATCCTCTGCCTCCCCAGGCTCGGCCTCCCACGCGACCTCACCATCGCCCTCCTGCGCGGCCTTCTCCTTCTCTCTGTGCTGCTCTCCGCGTCGCGCTCTGCGCCTCAAAACCTCGACGCCGTAGATGCACTGCAATGCGAATGACGATGGAGGACGCGATCGAGGAGTAATAATTAGTGCAAGTGTTTCCAAAAATGGGGCGGGAGGAAGACGCGACACATATATAGCTCATCCTTCGCGAATTCTTTTTTGAAGGAAACATGATGCGTAACTTGCGTAATTACCGGTATCATGATTTCTACTGCCATATATAGTTATGTATACTGGGTGAGGTCCTGTGAGGAGAAAGGCAACGATCGGTAATTACCCTGTCAATTTCTCTCCATTTTTTATTTATACTAGAAAAAATATCCGTTGCAACGCAACGGGTAAAAACATTTTTGAATCGCTGTACATTTTTACTCTTTTGTTTTGTACATTAAGCTAATTTTAAGTCCCAGCCCAGCCCGCTACCTTTCTCTGCTTGGTCCGTCTCTCTTTGACCCAACCCACAAATATAGATGTAGGTCCAACTCGCTGTTTGGTCCGTCTCTTTTTGACCCAACTGACGAGTGTAGCTGTAGGTCCAGCTCGTTGTTTGGTCCATCTCTCTTTGACCCAACTGACGAGTGGAGCTGTAAGTCCATCTTTACATACGCGACTGCCGTACGATGCCGTCATCAACCCAAGGAGGACATTTGTCCCACTACAAGAATCTATTTAATCTATAACGAAAAAATTCGTCATGGATCACTGAAAATTCGTCACAGGAAATGTCTGTGACGATTATACTTATCGTCATCTATTGAGCGTCACAGATTAAATCTGTCTGACGTTTTCTCCGAAATTGTCACGGATCAGCACAATCTATGACGTTTTTTAACCGTCATAAAACGCTTATGGGCCAGTGTAGTCTAGCCGAGGCCCAACCTTTGTGACGAAATTAAACGTCACAGATGGTTGCCACCTAGCAACCAACATGGCAAGTGACGTGGTCATTTTGACACGTGTGCAATGATGTGTCACTGATGATGTGGCATCTGACATCAGCAATTTTTTTATATGGCCCATTATTTTTTTGACGGCCCATCAATTTTTTTTAACTGTCCCATTTTAAAATAGGTCCATTTCAGAACTAGGCCCATTTCAAAACTAGCCCATTTTGTCAACCCAACTATCAGATCAAAGCCCACTAAACAAGCCCATTAAATTTGAGCCCACCAAATTCAATCAAATTTCTCATAACATCTTAGATTCAAACCTAATGACAAATACCATCTCAGATCCAAATAATAACAGATACAATCAGAATACAACAAAATTCAAACAATAGTTCATCTCAGATTCAACCTAATAAATTATACAATCTCATATTCAAAAGAATTCATCTCTGCTTCCAGAATCAAACAATAGTTCCACAGCAAGCAACAAAAATTTGTGTAGCAAAACCAAGCTATTTGAGAAATTGATCTTCCATATCTGCAAAGTAAACAAAAGATTCTTTTAGCAAATGGAGTGCAAAATGAGAGTTCATTCTCAAAGAATGGAAGATTGCAGTTTTTTTTCAATTCTTTCACATTTTTCACTAATATACATGCTGTAAGATCTAAAAAAGATCTAAATGTGGACTGCAACTTTCAAAGCAGAAAGAATGATTCCATCTATTGCAATTCCAGATGTTCTTCAGACATAAAAGCCACAAAAACTAGCATGTACGCAAAGTTATGAATTTGGATTATATCATATTACTATGATGTTATGAGAAATGGACATTTCAACTGCTATTTACATGAGTCATGTGATTTCTAGCTGTTTGAAAGAAAGATTCACCTAGAAAAAAAAGGAGGCAGAGGGAGAAAGGCTTTACTTGACCCTGAGCTTGCATGCAGATAGCTTTCAGGATTCCTTCAGTTAGGTCCACAGGAAGACCTTTCCTACACAAAATGGCAGTTAGTAACAATAAGGATACCAAGAGACCCGAATGATTTTTAGGCGTCTTTTCTTTGAGTTATGGAAAGATTTTATAGCTCAATTGAATGAAGAAAGTGTGGTGCTGATCGCGTGGTTTGCCTCTTCTCTCGCGGCCGTGTGTTGGTCAGCGTGGTATGGAGCACTAATTACAAATGGAACGCTGTTCATCCAACAATGAGAGGGCAAGCACACCACCTTTTTTCAGGCGATATCTTCGGGAGAGCGTGCTGGATAGCACACTCTAAGTACCCAGCTGCCTTGAGAAATATTTCAACTGAAAGGTAAAAAAGGAAAACAGAAAGGTAAAAAAGGGAAACACAGATCAGTCAAAATGCTGCAATGGACACCTAGTAGTATAGCAGCTGAGAGTATAAAAACAGCACTGAAATATTCAGAAGTAACCCGTACTAACTAGGAAGGTCGCACGGCTTTGCTGTGCGTAATTATAGATTGGCCAGTTTAGTTTTTTGCAGTGACTGTAATTATAATTGCGTAATTCTAACTGTTGGGTAGAATAATAAATAACAGCAAATTTATATATTTTTTAATTTAACTGTTCAGCCAGTTTCTCTGCTCCTGAATTGTACTAAACATTTACAACATGCACATAATTTAGGAAAAAAAATCATGGAACATAATATAGATTCGGTAGCATCCATACTTCAACAGTAGCACCGACAGAAGAACAAATGACATTCAGACCATCGTACAACAGCTAGTATGATGAAAGAAAACATAGACGATCTGCATCTTTTACTTCTAGCTGAAAAATACTGAAACTGATTTGTGATATCTCAGTGTAGGTAATTTGGGGAAGCTTGAGATGCAAACAAATGACATTCAGACTTTCGTACAAGCTTGAGATGCAAAATTATGAACAAGTGAAGGGTAGCATAAGCAATGAAGTAAAATTACTCTACGAAACATGTACCAGAAACCTGAGTATTCTGCTAAGATTTTCAGAAGAGAGGTAATATGTTAACCCAGTTGTTCCATCTTGAATAGTGAACAAAGTGAAGTCAGGGCTTCAGAGAACAGGCACTTACCTCAGCTGGCTCCAACCTCCCTTACCATCAGCCCTACCTTGACCAGCAACATCCATCCCGTACCAGAGACAGACAGAGCTTGAGTTCATGGAGCATATGCAGATGGCCTCAGCCATGCACCCGACAAGGGCATGTTGACAGTGATGATGGTCGCACTGCGAGGACAAAAAAACTTTCAGTAAAAGGCAAACATTTTCTTGAGCAAAGCTACTGCTGTAAAACAAAGTGATGGCTCAATGATCTACAGGGATTAACAAGCATAAATTCTCTGTTTCTTGCAGAGTAAATTGTACTCCTACCAAATTCCCTTATCTTATTATGAACTGTCTAACATCATAACCTAGGCCTTTTTTTAACCATCGTACGATTGTGTCACCTGAGTACATCATCAGTAAAGCCCATACAAAAAAATTGTGCAGCTGGAACTGAAGAGCCAAGTTTGAACAATTTCAGGTCTGACACTGATAGATTGTTGCAAGTAAATGGTAATATCACTTATATAAGTTTTACTAACACAGAAGTAGAAAATTAGAAATAGATTGCATGCAAAGGTGAAATCTGAATCAACACCTGATATTTCCATCGAATCTTAATGCTTGTACTACCAGAGAAAGTATTAACCCAAAAAACTGGTTTGAACTAATATAAATTTTCACTCGATCATAGCTAGGCACCAGCTTCGTCGCAGTGCCACTCACACACCCCCACTCATCTGGCAAGCACCCCATCACCCTCCCGGGAAATCGAATTGAGCAAGCCCCCTTCCTCCAGCTCAATCCGCGCTGCTACCGAGGTCTACATCGTTGCCCAGCCTACCGAGGTCGAGCTCGTTGCCGCCGCTGAGCACCTCACCCCATCCGATGAAGAGGAGGAAGGGGCGGCATCGGAGAGGATGACACCATGGGGAGAGGGGAAAGGGCGGCGCCAGCCAGCGGGACGATGGCGACAACGGCGATGAGGCACCGTCCTCGCAGGCATAGAAGAGACGAGAGGGGAAGAGGAGAGGAGCACTCACCGCCCGCCGCCGTTGTCGTCGCCGAGGTCGTCGTCGCCGCGCCTGAGCTGGATTCGCCGCGCCGCCGCCGGATTCCCCGCTTCCGCCGCCGGCCGCCCCCGCTCCCGCCGCCGGATCCGGGAGGGACGAGGCCCGCATCGCCGCCCACTCGTCGTCGTCGTCGGGGTCGGCGCCGCCGCCACCACCCGCGTCGTCGTCGTCGTCGTCGCCCACTCGTTGTCGTCGCCGCCCACTCATCGTCGGGGTCGGCGCCGCCGCGGAGGGGGCAGCCCGAGCGACGGGGACGACGCGGCGGCCGCCAGCCGCCGGCACGCGCACGCCGCCCACTCGTGCTCGGCGCCGAGAGAGGAAGAGGAGAGAGGGTGAGAGAGGAAGAAAAAGAGTGAGAAGGGGGAAATATCAGAGGGGGGAGAGAGAGAGAGAGGGGAGAGGAAAGATGAAAAATTTTGAAGGGTTGCGGAGGGAAAATTTTCAATTTTCATTGGAAATTTTGAATCGATTTTTATGGCACTAAATCAACTCGTATGAAAAAGTTGTAAAATACAAAGTCGTAGAACTCATTTAGATCTACCATTTTTCTTTTGGTCATTTCTCCATCCAAGTTTGATTGAACTATATAATATTTGAATTTCAAATTATGATAAATTTAAAAAAAAAAATTAAATACTAAATGATTTCAACTGAAAAAGTCATCAACAATAAAGTTGTATAACTTATCAAGATGTACAACTTTTGTTTTGGTCATTTTTGCATATGACTTTGTTTCAAAAATTTGAATTTGAATTTTAAATTATGACAACTTCAAATAATATTTTCAAATACTAAATGATTTCAATTTAAAAAGTCATCAATATAAAAGTTGTATAACACATCAAGATCTATAACTTTTATTTGGGTCATTTCTTCATCCGGCAAAGTGATTTGTAACATTGTTTACAAAATGTATATACCTCTTATATAATTTATAAACCATAACAGAGATATGTAAATTTTGTGAACAATATTATCATTATTTTATCGGATGAAAAAATGACAAAACTAAAAGTTATAGATATTGATGAGTTATACAACTTTGTTGTTGATGACTTTTTCAGTTGAAATCATTTAGTATCTCAAAATGTTGTTTAAAGTTGACATAATTTGAAATTCAAATTCAAATTACCAAAACAAAGTCATATGGTAAAATGACCAAAACAAAAGTTGTAGATATTGATGAGTTATATAAATTTGTTGTTGATGACTTTCTCAGTTGAAATCATTTAGTATTTAAAAATGTTATTTGAATTTGTCATAATTTAAAAGTCAAATTTTATATAGGTCAATCAAACTCGGATGGAGAAATAACCAAAATAAAATAGGTAGATCTCAATAAGTTATACAACTTTGTTTTTGACAACGCTTCCACATAAGTTTGTTTAGTATGATAAAATTCGATTTGAAGGTTTAATATTTTCAAATTAATTGAAAGTAGGGATGCAAAATGAACTTCTAAGCGAGGGAGGAGCAAAAGGCCTGTTACGGGCCAGCCCATTTGCTCATCCCTCGCTGAGATGTTCATTATGTCTCCCTCCTTTCAATTAATTTCAAAATATTAAACCTTCGAATCGAATTTTATCATACTAAATGAACTTATGTGGAAAAGTTGTCAAAAACAAAGTTATATAAATTATTTAGGTCTACAAATTTTATTTTGGTTATTTCTCCATCCGAGTTTAATTGACCTATATAAAATTTGAATTTCAAAATATGACAACTTCAAACAAAATTTTCAAATACTAAACGATTTCAACTGAAAAAGTCATCATGAACAAAATTGTATAAATCATCAATATCTACAACTTTTGTGTTGATCATTTTTCTATATGACTCTATTTCAATAATTTGAATTTGAATTTCAAATTATGTCAAATTCAAACAACATTTTCAAATAATAAATGATTTCAACAGAAAAAGTCATCAACAACAAAGTTATATAAATCATCAATATCTACAACTTTTATTTTGGTCATTTTGCTATATGACTCTGTTTCAATAATTTGAATTTTAATTTAAAATTATGACAACTTCAAACAACATTTCCAAATACTAAATGATTTCAACTGGAAGGTCATCAATATCAAAGTTGTATAACTCATCAAGATCTATAACTTTTGTTTTGGTCATTTTGCTATATGACTCTGCTTCAATAATTTGAATTTGAATTTCAAATTATGACAATTTCAAACAATATTTTCAAATACTAAATGATTTCAACTAAAAAAGTCATCAACAACAAAGTTGTATAAATCATCAGTATCTACAACTTTTGTTTTGGTCATTTTGGTATATTACTCTGTTTCAATAATTTGAATTTGAATTTCAAATTATGACAACCTGCAAACAACATTTTCAACCGAACTTTTATTTTAGTCATTTCTTCAACCGATAAAGTGATAGTAACATTGTTCACAAAATTTACATTTCTCTTATATGGTTTTGAAGTATTTAAATCGTGACGAAATTGCTATAACGTCACAGGTTGTGGGCCGGTTTATGACGAAATCGATAAACTATCACGGTATTATGGGCCTTGTATCCATAGTTGCATATCCGTGACGATTTATGAAAACATCATGGAAATTTCGTCAAATTTCATCACAGATTAAATAGATTCTTGTAGTGTCCGTATGATGCCAAAACCGATCATTCCAATCAAATCCGGTCGAATCCTACTCATCAAATCTGGTTGAATGAATCATTCTCATCAAATTCGGTCGAATTATTCTCGATGTTTTAAAATTGGTTGATCTCCTTTTATACACTTGATCTCCTTTTTCTGTTTTTATCAAAATCGGAGCGAATTTGCAAAACTCAGGATAAAAACGATGGCTTTTAAATGGAGATTAAATTTGATGAATTAAAGTGGAATTAGAAGGGAAAATTATGGGGGAAAATGGCAAGGGAGCTGTGGGGAATCGATTTTTACAATCAATTGGAGGGAACGCATGGGGACACGCTAGGCTTTGGCCGCGCAAGAAAAAACATGGCATATAAAAAAAACAAATCCTTACCCCACGCATACCCTTCTGCGTGCGAAAAAAAAAAGGATGGCAACGAAAAAAAAGAGGATAAAAAAACTGGAAAAAGAGAGTAAAAAACCAGCAGATGGAAAAAACCGAAAAAAGCCGAAGATAAAAAAGGGAAAATGCTTCGCGTCGGCTGTCCGACGCTCCAGCGAAATATCGGACATAACATTATCTCATCACATGTATGCTTCTATCCACTGCCTTGCCTCCATGCAAAGCACTTTACTACTCCCTTGCTCTATGTAGAGCACTTTACCAGATCACCGATGCACGTATACATTTTTATATTTAAATGATCTTTTTTCTTAAATCACTTCTCCAATTTACAATCCGATTACACTATTAAACTTGTTGCAATTAAATCTTTAGAACAAAATCACACATGACTATATTCTGATGAAAAAATATTTTTTATTCTTTTAAATGTGTCAACTAGTACTAGTACGCTATGTTTCACTAATACATCTGTAAATGTTGCACATATTGTTTTTTCAATGTTCCAATTTGTATTTTATAATGTTTCAGATGTAATAACTTAATGTTTTATACATTACATGAAAATATTTTAATAATATTTCATATTTGCAAATATATTATATCTTTCATATGGGTTTTTATGTCATTCGTTTTTTTTATTTGAAAAAATTGGTTATATAGCATCGAAAGTTCACGTTTTTGGTTTTATAGCACCGAAAGTTACCGGTTCACTTTAATAGCATCCAAAGTTCACCCTGTTCCCATTTTTAGCACTTCCGTCAATTTTTTCGTCTGTCTTGATCGTTATTGATCTGGCCACACACATGATATGATATTTCTACCCCTCATTGACATGCATTATACTTGTACTTGTGAGGGGTAGAAATGTCATATCGTGTGTGTGGCTGGATCAAGACGGACGGAAAACGATCGAGAATTGACGGAAGTGTTAAAAATGGGAACATGGTGAACTTTGGGTGCTATTAAAGTGAACCAGTAACTTTCGGTGCTATAAAACCAAAAACGTGAACTTTCGATGCTATATAACCAATTTTGCCTTTTTATTTTTACGTCTCACTCATTGAGACTCAATGTTTCATGCAGTGATTATTGGTATTATAATTAGTATTTCGTAAATGTTGCATTTCTCTGAAACATTTTATAGACTAAGTTAGAACATTTGACCAAGTTTTTTTTCTCACTCATTGAGACTCAATGTATCATACAACGATTATTGGTGTTGCAGTTAGTATTTTCTAAATGTTGCATTTCTCAGAAACATTTTTATAGACTAAATTGGAACATTTGACCAAGATTTTTATGTCTCACTCATGGAGACTCAATGTTTCATACATTCATTATCGGTATTGCATTTAGTATTTCTTGAATGTTGCATTTGTCTGAAATATTTTATAGACTGAGTTGGAACATTTGACCAAGTGGTGAAACAATTTTTTACAAGTGGTGAAACAACATTTATTTTTTCTCATCAAAATATAACCGTCTGAGATCTTATTGTAAAGATTTAATTGCAAGGAGTTTAATGGTGAAATCGAATCATAAATCGGATAATTAATTTAAAAGGAAATTTAATTTAAAGAAATAAAAAGTAGCTTGAGACAAGCACAAGCATATAGGCTTCTTACACGTGCTAATCAACTAGAGTATGAACAGCAGTCATGCATGCACAAGCATATAGGCTTTTTACACGTGCTAATCAACTAGAGTAGAAATAATAGAACACAGGTATACATGCATGTGTAGGTGCGCGGCAGTGCAGGGTCGGGCGTCCGATATTTGCAAAATATCGAACGTCCGACGCGTAGCATCCTCCATAAAAAAGCGGACGAAAAAAGGCGAAGATAAAGAAAAGGACGGGGAAAAACAACGAAAAAGAATGGACTAACGGAAAAAAGGAAACAACGGGAAAAAAAAGAGAAAAAAGG